TCTCTCAATATCTTAAAAAAAGTTGCATGTTTGTTCTCTAAAGAGTATCCGTCGATTCCGTAAGTACGACTAAGTAAGTAATGATGAATAAATCGGTTTACATATACGAACATGAGAAGTATTATTTAGCGGAAAAAAAAAAGAACAGGAAAGAGAAAAGAAATGATGGATAATGATTAATGAACAGAGCAACTAGTCATTGTAAATAATTAGAATGAAAGTAAAAGAAGAAGAAAAAGAAAAATTATTCTTTTTTTTTTTTTTTTGATTGTGGCATTTGATATAAGAAAGTAATGTATCGACAAGCCAATCTTAAAAAAAAAAAATTTTCTTTTTTAACAAATGATCTGATAGATGGTAAGCTGTTGATTAAGAAAAATGAGTCCATTGCGCATTTAAGGATATACTTTTCAAGTTGAAAGAGAAATTCAAAAACATGTTCTTTTTTTTTTAAAAAACTACAAAACTTTCAGCTTCTCTTTTCATGTTAGCTTGTGAAAATTGTTTTCTTTTTTTCAAATGCAGTGTTAAAATTCGAAAAGACTTTTAATGGTGGTATCTCGAATAACTGCCATAGTCATTTATCATATCACCAGTCATAAAAGTATACATTACTTTTTTTTCTAACGAGAAAAGTTCCCCCAAATGTAAGTCTCTATTCTCAATAGATTTTATGTCAGTTTGGAAAGCTCGAGGAATTAATCACAATGGTATAGATTGTTATTGAGAAGTTAGGTCGATCTAAACTTCAGAAGAATGTCTGTAAGCTATTATTTCTGGAATCGTAATTTTTATGTTACAATTTAGTACTCAACATGGAATACTTTAACATTCTATGTGTCTTAATTGAATTTACACATTCACACAATCAACATAAATAGAAGTCCTATGAACTTCTGTACTTTGGATATTTCAATAGTCTTAATCCTATGGGTATATGGAACTAAACTGTTTTTTTGTTTTCAAAATTCATCTAATTCTATTTTTCACAAAAAACAACTAAATATAATGCAGACCATTGAAAACGACAAAGTTTTAATTACTGAATTGTTAAAATAGTAATGCCAGAGAATCTTGATTAGTTTTGCAAAATATAGTTGACTTGCGTACATTCATAAGATTAATAATATTGAAATATTCAAAGTATAGATGGATGTAACCAACCAAACTGATACCACAATTCTTGCTTTTTCTTCTGTAGTTTCAGCAATGTGGCAGAAAAGTATGATTTTTCTACCGATCTAATATTAATAATCTGGTATTGTTTGAACTCTATATCTTATTATGAATGAGAGTTGTGAAGTGTGTTCTTATAATCATATTTGATATGAAATTTTTTCACTTACATCAATTTTCCTAAAAAAAAAAATTTACAACCACATGAAGTATCAGTAATAAAGTTTTATTAGCAAATATAATTAACGTATGATGTTCTATGCTTCTGAATAGAGGATATTTAGTTGACTTCAGATTACATTGAACGAAAGCAATGTGTACGATATCAGTAATCTTACAAAAGTCATCAATAGCTGCTCCGAAAAAAACGATTCAAAATATTATAAGATTCGTTAAGCACACAACATCATATGGTTAAATATACTTGTTAATTAAACTTTGTTACTGATACTTCATGTGGTTGTAAATTTTTTTAGTAAAATTGATGTAAGTGAAAAAAATTTCATATCAAATATGATTATAAGAACACACTTCACAACTCTCATTCATAATAAGACATAGAGCTCAAACAATGCCAGATCATTAATATTACACCGGTAAGAAAATTACACTTTTCTAACATACTGCTGAAACTACAGAGGAAAAAAACAATAAGAATTGTAGTATCAGTCCGGTTGGTCACGCTCAGATGTAATTACAACTTCAATTTATGTGGATGTGTATATTCAATTAAGGCGTATACAATGTTAAAGGCTTCAGTGAGACAGCTAAACTGATATGAAAGTTAAGATTTCTAATGTTATAGTCATTTTTCTGAAGTTTCAGACCAACCTAACTGTGAAAGAATGATTTATACCATCATGATCAGCTCATTGAGCTCTACAAACTTGTATAAAGCCGATTAAAAACGAAGATTCACACTCCTTCTATGATAAACTTTGAATTAAATATACACATAAATTTTAATTCTCTTTCATAAAAAATAAAATGTTTTAAGCGAGAAAAGTATCACATACTAGAATCAATCTAAAAATCTGAGTGTATTGATATATACTTCGAAACTTATCCTTACTTGTCGATTTCAGGCAATTCTTTTCAATTGAAGCTTACTTTTATGATTGATGATATAATGAATCGAACGGGATAAGATATTTGATTTTCTTGCTTAACCAAAAAATGACGGTAATTCGAGGTGCTACCATCAAAAGTTTTTCCGAATTGAAGATGACTTGTCAATACTCAGTTTTTAGTGCTACATTCAAAAAAGAAATATTTTCATAAGCTAAGAAGTCTTCTTTGAATTCGAAAAGGACATCCATAAATTCTAAGATCTTCTTTTATTGTGATCATCAATACACATACAAAATTATAAAATGCTAAAAGATCGATTGATTGTCTATACGCATTTCGTTTTGAATGAAGACTAACGAATATCGTATGGACATATCATTGATTAAAAGCAATTCGTCGTTGAAACATACAATATTAAAATTAAGTAAATTCATTTTCTTTTTTTTTTTATTAACAGATATAACACTTAGGAATAAATGAAATTGTGTTACAGGTATTGATTATTATCAAAATAAGAATAAAATTGATTAGATGAAAGTTAAATTTTAATCATTTTATCTTTAGATAGTCGATTGAAACAATTCAATTACTCACATTTTTAAATATTAAAACAAAATTACGTATATGCATATTCGATGATAATTATCAATGTTAGTGGTAAATGATTGATTTGTATCATGTGACGATTATTTTGTGAATTGCGAAGGCTATCTATCGAAACTGTTTCTGGATAATAATTTTATTTTAAATGACTGTAAAACTAACGTGTCAAATTCAAGAATGACATTAATACAGATCTTTGATTTCTAATTGTGAAGAAGAAATAAAACGTAAAATATAGTTCATTATCGATTTATTTATCTATTTCTTAGTATTTCATAGTTCTTTTTGCCTGCGTTATATTCTATATGATCCGTTTGTTTTTGTTATTATCAAAAGAGTAATCATGAGTGGGTATTTTTGATTATTTTAATTCTAATCCGAACGATATCGTCGTTTTGTATTTATAACAGATTAAATGATATATCGAATGGTTTTAGTTAGAAGCGTTCGAACGAAATTTGAAATGTGAATATATCTATAAAAATAAATTATTGTTCGTTTTTCTCTAGTTTGAATCTTTTTATCGTTTGAAATCTTCAATTAATTTTTTTCCTAAAAATAAATAAATATGATTTCTTGATATCTATTTCATCTCTTAATAATAAAGTACAACAAAAGAAAAGTTTACATGGTAATTCAAAATTATTTTAAGCCATTTATCTATATCAAGGATGTCTCCAAAGTCCTGAAACTAGGGAGCTGCGGGTCCGCACCCAGGTCTAAAGTTTTAGTTTTTTATCGGGTCCGTGTCCAACCTTTTATTTTTTGTCAGACTCGATTACACGTTTTTGTGAATCCACTGCTCTCCAGATGAGAAATACAGCAACAAGATATAACTGTATGCTGAGTTTTTTCAAAGGGTGGCGAACAGAATCGCCAAAACCTTGATATACTCTACTTGCTCATGTACATGAAGGGTGGTACATATTGATGGAAAAACTCCGGGTCCGGGTCCACAAAAAAGTGGATTCGTAGTTGCCTATCTGAAACAATATTAAAATTGATCATTCTTATACTTTCACAAAAACAAACTCTTTGCAACTTCGATG